CGCTCGGCGTCCTCGGGGCGCTCGGCCGCCGCCGCCGCCGCGTTCAGGGGGGTCTCGCCCTGGTGGGTGCGCCGGGAGGGGTCGGCGCCGTGGTGGAGGTACAGCTCCACGTGGGCCACCAGGCCCTGGCGCGCCGCCACGTGCAGCGCCGTCACCTGCCGGTCGCGGGTGCCCAGGTTCACCTGCGCGCCGTGCGCCAGCAGCAGCTCCGCGCACCTGGAGAGGGTGGGAAGGGTGAGGGGACGCTTTGGAGAGACACGGCAGCCGTGGGACACGAGCAGGACGTGCCAGGGAGGTGTGGTTCCCGTGGGACGTCCCTAGGGATATCCTCAGGACATACTGGAGAGACCTGTCACCCATGGGACACCCCCAGGGACACCCTGGAGAGACCTGTCACCCATGGGACAACCCCTGGGACACCCCCAGGGACACCCTGGAGAGACCTGTCACCCATGGGACACCCCCAGGGACCCCCCCCAGGACACCCCCCAGGCCCCTGGCTCCCAGATTGCGTGGGTGGGGCAGCAGTGACGATTTCATGGGCGGGGTCTCTCACGCAGGTGAGCCCCACCCTGGCCGGCCCCCCCACCCCCGCAGGTGAGCCCCTACCTGAGGCTGTGCGGCGCGGTGCAGAGGTGCAGCGGGGCCGAGCCGTCGGCGCTCAGCACGTTGGGGTCTGCGCCGAAGGCCAGGAGCAGGCGGGCGCAGTTGGGGTGGGGGGCGGCCGCGCTGTCGTGCAGGGGGGCCCGGCCCCCCACCACGGCGTCCACGGCCGCCCCCCGCAGCAGCAGGTGCCGGGCACAGTCCTCGTAGCCGCGGGCGGCGGCGATGCGCAGGGCGGAGGTGTGCTGCCGGCGGGGGCTCAGCACCCACAGCCCTGCGGGGGGCACGGGGGGCTGCCGGATAGCGCTGGAGCCCCCTCACCCGCACCCACCCACCCACACCCTGCCGGAGGTGGGGGGAGCAGGGGGGCACCCACCCGCTCCCAGAATCCCCATGAACCAGAGCAGCCAGCCCTGCTCCCCAAAACCCACCTGGGGCTGCACCCCTTTTCCAGGGAGAACTGGAGGGAAGGGAGAAGGGAGAAGAAAGGAAAGACCCCCCCAGTGGCACCCCCAGCCCCTACCCTGCTCCGGTGACCACACCAGCTCCTCGCTGACCATCTCCAACACCACATTGGCCGTGGCCTCGTCCCTGAAGATGCTCTGGACGCGCGGCAGGTCCCCGGCGTAGAGGGCGTTGTGCACGGCGGGGTCCCGGCAGAACTGGCGGCGCCGGGGTGGGCTCGGGGGGGCTCGGGGGGTCCCGGTTCCGGGCAGGAGGCGGCGCGAGGCCGATTCCCGGGCCAGCGCCCGGCGGCGATCCTCCCGCTCCAGCAGCTCCCGCTGCAGCCGCAGCGAGCGCAGCGCCGAGGGGCTGAAGGCGAACGTCTCGTGGGCCATGGGAGCCCCCGAGGGCAGCGGGGCTCTGGGGACAGCGAGCCTCGGGGGTTATTAATAGGGCTGTGCCCCACACACACGGATGTGGAATCAAATCCCAGAGCCAGGGGCCCTATAAATAACTCCTGGTGGTAAACAGAGTCACGGGGTGCAGGGCAGTTTAACCTGTTGGTGGGTGCGAGGTGGGGACGTCCCATGGGGAGGGATCTGGGGACTCCCCAGTCCTGCAGGGCTGTGAGAGCCTGGGGGGATGGCTCCTCCTTCCCAGGGGGAGCAGGGACCCCCGGGAAGGGACAGAGGGGTGACACACGAGGACACAGGTGATGCAGAAACAAAACAGCCCTTTAATGCAGGTTTGGGAGCCAGAGGGGCCCGTGTGCCCGAAGCAGTGGGGACAGTGCTGAGGCCACTTCCCCCCTGGGTGTCCCCAGCTCTCAGCTCCACAACAAGCACCACGGACACGCAGACAGAGAAGCAGGTGGGTGGGTGGCAGGTGTGTCACCTGCTCCTCGGCACCGTCACCCTCTGCTGGGCTCAGCCACAGTCAACCTGAGCCGGGGCTGAGAAGAAATCCTCGGGCAGCTCTCCCAGGAGCCCGTCCAGGTCATCTGCACGGCACAGCAGGATGTGAGTTTGTGTGTGTGAGATCGTGGAATTGTTCAGGCTGGGAACCAGGCCCTGCTTTGCACAGGACAGAGAGTTTTCCCTCCCCTCCCAGAGTGGGTCTGACTCACCCATGTCACATCCATCAGCTCCCACCGGCTCTTCCCAGCTGGGATCAGAGCTCGGTGGGCACAGGGAGAAGCCCCCAGGATGCTGCTCTGCACTGTGTCCACTCGTCCTCGACTGTCCCCAGTCCTCAGGAATGGGGACACCCCGGGTAGGCTGTGCAGGGGGCTCTGGGGCCAGCTCAGCCTGGGCAGGGACCTGCAAAACCCAGTGGGGGTGAATTACTGGGGGGTTTATCCAGCCCTCCCCATTCCTCTTGGGGATCCCCATAACCCAGATCCCCTGGGGGTCCCAGCAGCCCCCCAGGGCCACCAGCAGCGCCCCCCTCACCTGCTGGGGGGAGCAGCCCTCGGGCTCGGGTGGGAAGATCCGGAGGAGGTTGTTGGGGGTCACGTTGAGGTAGTGGTTGCGGTGGGAGGGGGAGAAGACCCCGACCTGCAGAGAGGGCAGAGCCAGCTCCTGGATAAACCCCCCAAGTTACAGCGCCCCGTTTATGGAAATCTTAGGATGAAGGGGGAAAGTTTAGGAAGAGTTGAGAAAAATCTGAGGTGCAAAACTGCGGGAGATCCTTTTCTTGTATTTGTATTTGCAGGTGCCGTGGAATGGGAACAGGGATGTACCATATGAACACACTGGCTCCTCTTACCCCTTATCCTAACATTCACATTCCAGTTCCAGGGTGTACTGGGGCTGGGAACAGGACAGGTGATGTGCTGCACCAGCACCCCAATCCCCCACCCCGCATTCCCCCGGGGTCAGACCCCACTGGGGTGGGATAAGCAGCCCCCCAGCTCTCCTCACCTGCCTCAGGAGCAGCACGGAGCCGGCCCGGAGCTCGCTCTGCCTCTGCTCCAGCAGCAGCCGGTGCACGGTGCCCTGCATCTCCCCTGGCAGCGAGGACGGGATCCCTGAGCCCCGGGGGCGACGGGCCGGAGCCCCACCGGGCACAGGAACCTCCGGGCACAGGTACTCCAGGCACAGGTACCACAGGGCACAGGTACCACCAGAGCCCCACCAGACAGAGGTACCACCAGGCACAGGTACTCCCAGAGCAGAGGTACCCCCAGGCACAAGTACTACTGAGGCACAGGTACCCCCAGGCACAGGTACCCCCAGGGCACAGGTACCCCTGGGCACAGGTACCAGTACCACCGGAGCCCCACCGGGCACAGGTACCCCTGGGCACAGGCACTGCCCCACTCACCTGTGGGGTCCCGGAACACGGCGCCAGCGCCGGCGCTGCTCCTGGTCAGGGTTTTGATCATCACAGCCATGCTGGGCACCTTGTTCTTTGGGAGCTGCTTCAGGGCTGCCTGCACAGCACAGCGGGGATTTTGGGATAACCTTGAACAGGGCTGGGAGATGAACTCCCTGATCCTTGTGGGTCCCTTCCAGGATTCTACAGCCCTCGTCACCCCGGGGATGTGGATGTCTGCGCTCAGCTCAGCCCCCTCCCCAGAGATTCTCAGCCCTAAAAGCAGCTCTGAGGGGTGAGGGAAGAGCAGGAAGCTGAACCCTGGGCCGCCCTCACCTTGCGGAGCACCATGACCACGCTGTAGGTGTGGAGGAAGCAGCTGGGGTCCCTCTCATCCAGCCCCAGCTCCGTCTTCATGGCCAGCCAGGGCCCCTTCCCAAAATCCTCCTCCGTGGGCAGTGGGGAGCTGGGCAGCGCCTGGGGTCAGGGACACCCATGGTCACAAAGCCCCAGGGGCTCCCTCCCCGCCCAGCACCCCACTGGGGGGGTCCCACCGGGATCTGCCTGAGCAGGGGTGGGAGGGGGGGGTTACCTGAGCCCGCGGCTTTGCCACGGCCCCGTGAGCTGGAGTCTGGGGAGCAGACACCAGGATCTCCTCCAGCAGCTTCCCAGAGTGCTTGTGGGACAGGGAGAGACGTCCAGGGATCTGCTTGGCTTCATCAGCTGCTCCCATCCCATCCCATCCCCATCCCACATCCCACTCCCATTCCCGTCCTATCCCAACCCACTTGCATTCCTGACCCCATCCTCACCCCGTTCCCACGCTGTCCCCATCCCCACCCACCCCCTGCAGATCCCTTTGTGGGGACCCTCCGTGGAGACCCCGGATCGTCCCCAGGGGACCCCAAACCCGCCTCTGTCCCCCCGGCCCCGTTACCATGGCAGCGCCGCGACCCCGGCCCGGCCCCGGAGGCGGAAGCGGCGGGGCCCGGACTCGAACTCGCGGCCTCCGGGGAAGGGGCGGAACTTCCCCTGCGGCACCGCGCTCCCCCTGGCGGCGGGCAGGAAGCGCGGCCGCGCCCCTTAAAGGGCCACGCACCCCCTTTCCCCGCGCGTGTCACACGTGCACACGCGTGTGCCCCCGCGTCACCCGGCCGGGCCCCGCGGCGCCGCCGGTGACTCAGCGCGGCCCCGGTCCGGCGTGATTCATCCCCGCACGTCCCCGCGGCACGGGCTGAGTGACCCCCCCCCAACCCGGGCCTGCTACACCCGCACGCGTGCGTGGGCAAGGGCACAGGCGTGTGTGCGTGCGTGTGTCCTGCACACGCGTGTCCCGTGAGTGTGGCAGGCTGACCTGCAGCTGCACACAGAGCACGCGTGTGCCCTGCGGAGCGTTTCCCGCCTGGCCCGCGGCACACGCGTGTCCCCACGTGTGTGCTCACGCTCTTGTGTGCGGCAGCGGACTCACACCGAGCTCCTGGGCGTGCACACGCGTGTGTGCGACAGCACAGCGGCCTGTGGAACCTGTGTGTGTGTGTGTGCGCCATGGCCTGTCACCTGTCACACACACGCGTGTGCCCCGGCACACTCACAGCCACAGACACCGGCTCACGCTCACTCTCTCCGCGGCCCCTTTAAGGCCCAATTAAGCCCCGCCCCTCATTAGGTGCCGCCCCTTTAAGGGGGGCGCCCCCCCGCGCGCGGGGCTATTTTTAGCGCCGGGCGCCGTCACGTGACCCGGAGTGACGTCACCGAATGTTGTTGTCGGGGCGGGCGGGGCCGCGCGGCGAAGATGGAGGAGGAGGCGGGGGGGCGGCGGGGTGCGCGCCGGGCGGCACCGGGGGGACCCCATGGGTGACGCCCCCAGACCCCGATCTCGGGGGGTTTGGGGGCTTGCAGCACCGGGGAGCTCGCAGGGGGGGTGGGTCAGCGTGTGTCCCCCTTCCAGCCGTGTCCTTAGGGGGTCCCATCCGTGTCCCCGTGGGGTGGCACGGCCGGGGGGTCCTTCCCTGCCATCCCCCTCTGCGGGACCCCCCTTTTCCTGCAGAGCCTCGTGTAACGCTGCTGACCCCCAGATCCCTTCTGGGGGTGCCCCAGCCCCCCCCATCCCGGGGAACAGCGGAGGGGAGGGGGCTGCATCCTGCCCTGGCTGGGTGCTCGTGGGGGGGGCTCGGTGCGGGCTCCCACCCCTCCTCGTTTGCTGCGGGGGGAGCTTTGGGGGGTCCCGGGGTGCTGACGGGCGCTCGGTCCCGCAGGGCTCCCGGGCGGCGCGGGCACAGCCCCGGTGCCCCGGCCGGCGCTGACGGACACGCGCCTCTGCGAGCCCCCCCGGCACCCGCGGGCCACCATGGACCCCCAGAGCGACACAGGTGAGAGCCCGCGGGGGGCTGCACCCGCCGCCCACCGCTCCGGGCACTGCCCGTCCCTGTCCCCGCTGTGGCAGCCAGCAGATCTTGGGGTACCGGGGGTCGCAGCAGCGTTCTGCCCAGCGGGGCACACACGCGCCTGGCACCGGGGGGGCACCAGCGCCGTGCCAGCCGCCCCCTGCCCCGCTTATCCCAGCCCGTGCCACCGCGCCCCTCGCCGGTGTTCTCAAACCCCGGCATCATCCTCCCGCTGCGAGGGGAAACTGAGGCACGGCTCCCGGCAGCGTCGTGGCACGGCTCACACGTGGCTCTTTATGCCACCGGGGGCGGGTCCCCGCGGCCCCCTGGTGTCCCCGCGGTGCCACGCGTGGGGACAGCCGTGGTGGCCGCCGGGGCCGTGCCCGCGCTGTCCCGGCTCCCGCTGGCTCCCCGGCAGCGCCGCCCTGTAATTATCCCGGGGGGAACTCCGGCGACATCTGGACGCGCTCCTGTCCCCCCCTCCCCGCCCCCCGAGGGGACACGCGGCAGCGCCGCCACCGCGGCCTCCCGAGGGGAAACTGAGGCCCGGGGCGATGGCAGCGCCCCGTGTCCCGCTGCAGGGATTCGGGGACGGGGGCGTGTGTCCCCTCTGTCCCCAGTCCCCCCCCGGGCCACCCGCCGGTATTTTTGGAGCGGCCGCAGGGCTGGAGCGTCGCCCGGCCGTGCCTGGCACGGGGCTGGCACGCGGCGCGGTGGCACGGGGACACGGCGGCGCGGGGACGCGGCCGGGCCGCCTCTGCCACCCCTGGGGCGCTTTCCTTGGGGTCCCCTCCCGGCTTTGGGGCTCTCGTGGGGGGGGGGGGGGGGTTTGGGGACCCCCCCGGGGGGGGGGGGGTGGGGGGGCCCGGCCGGGG